GGGATTTAACTTGATTAACACCTGCACAGAGCATTTCCATACTGACAGTATGTCTTTATTCAAGTGTTTTGGTAGGTATTTCAAGCTTTTCTGCTCCAGCATTGGAATGCGGGGCATGAACGTTTATTTATTTTGAAAATCAACAGTTTGCATTATGCAATTAAAAATCCTAACCAATAAAGTAGGGAATAGCTATCCAACTGTTGTTTTAGTTGTATGTTACTTCATATTATAGTTATATCAATGTAAATCATTGTTTTCCCTTGTGTTTCTCATTCTTTCCCTGCCATGTCGTAAAATGTGGTGAACCCATCGCTGTATTTGCTCCAAAGCAAATATTGGCCTTTCTAGTGTTAAGATTGTTATTGTTATACTGCTATTTACGCTGTTGTTGTTGTATATAACTGTAGCTATTAAGTTCATACGTCGATGAAGGTTAGACATCCAGGTAATACGATGGCTGTGCTATGGGATCACCAGTCTCACCAATTGTTGTAAACATGTACATGGAGAAGTTTGAAAACAAAGCCCTCAGCACTTTCAATGACACTCCCCCGGCCAACTGGTTTCGATATGTAGATGACACTTGGTGCAGATTGAAAAAGAAGGTAGCTGCTGACTTCTTTGACCACATCAACCAGATAGATGACAACATCAAGTTCACACAGGAGCCAAGCCATGACAACATGCTCCCTTTCCTAGACACCAAAACTATCGTAGAGGAAGATGGTAACCTTCGTTTCGAAGTGTACAGGAAACCAACCCACACTGATCAGTACCTGGCTTTTGATTCCCACCACCCTTTGGAACACAAACTAGCAGTGATCAAAACTCTCTTCCATCGTGCAGACAACATTGTCACTTCAGACCAAGCCAAAACTGACGAACAAAGACACCTCCGAGGTGCCCTGGCTAAATGTGGCTACCAAAACTGGACTTTCAACAAAGCGCTCAAACCTTCAGATCAGTCTAAGAAAACCCAGAAGTGCAAACCATTGACCAACAAAAACAAGGCCAACATCACTATTCCGTATGTCCAAGGAGTATCTGAGAAACTCCGACGGATCTTCCAAAACTTCAACATAGCCACTAACTTCAAACCTCACTCAACCCTCAGACAAAGACTGGTACACCCTAAGGACCGACCTCACAAGGGTACCAAGGCGAATGTTATTTACAGACTCAAATGTGAGGAGCCCAATTGTAACAACACCTACATCGGAGAGACAAGTCGACCGCTTAAAGTAAGGTACAAAGAACATTGCCGACCTAGTGCCAACGGCTACTCCTCAGCTATTTTCCACCACCTACAACACAACCAGGGTCACTCTTTCAAACTCGAGTCCACGGATGTCTTAGACCGCGAAACACGCTGGTGGGAACGGGGTGTGAAAGAGGCAATATATGAAAGAATGTACAACCCCACCCTCAACAGGGAAGGGGGGGCTACGGATCGATCTTTCCGGCACTTGGGATTTGGCACTCCCAGCCCCGAGGACAGACAACACTTAAGCTCCTGTCCTGTATAACAGGAGCTTTCAGACCAATTTGCATCATCTTGTCTTGACTTGTCTGACTTTTGTTCCTTTTTCGACTTCCAAAAATTTTTCTTCACTTTATTTGCATATCAATCAACAGGTTGAGTATATAAACCTGCTTTCCCCTCTGGTCTCTCAGTCACTGACGAAATCTAGTGGATACTAGCTGAAACGTCTGACGTTTTCAAAATCATATCCAGTTGCTTGAGTAACTGTTTTTTGGCATATCGCTATTAAGTTCATAATTGATTATATTTCATCTTTTAAATGTAAAGGACTCCAGGAAGACTAGTAATAAACAAACTTTGTATTACTAATGGAGATTCCTAATAAATATAAACATAAACATACAGACCTACTTTCGGGGCGATAAGAGAAAATCGCACTGTTTTGTGTTCTTTGATATCTTACCAACCATTGCCCTTCTAGGTGTCCTTATCGCCCTTCATTAATGCAGAAAATATTGACGATGAAATAAAATGGCGTTATCTAATTATTTTTTCATAAGCGATGTAAACTAATGAACTGTTCAATTAATATGTACATGCAAATAAGTTGAGAAAAATCTACACACAGGATAAAACTGTCAGCTCACTGCATTAGACATCCTGAATTTCTAGTATCCAAGCTAGAGGTCAAGCAAAGTACAGCACGTAGGTTCTCAATAACCAGCTTATTAGTGTTTTTGTCTCCTATAGTCTCGGCCCAAAATGTTTATGTTGACTTGAAGTGTTTGAGCTTCATAATCAAAAGTTCCCGGATGTATGTGGTTTAGCATGGGGGAAAATAATATTAATATCGCTTTACAAACATGCGTCGCGCAAATCATGTAAAAAGTCGGCTAGTTATATATTCATTGCAGCATAATCTACCGGAAAATGACACTTCCTTCTGGACTTCAGTACTCCTTTAATGGCCACACGTTCTCCCGTGTTAATAAATACTTTTCTAGCCGGAGAATTTTCTGCTGATAATAAAAAGCGTTGTATAATTGAAATGCGCATTAAGCGAATCTCGAAGAAAGGGTCACTAAGGTTTTCTTTAGGTTTGGGCTATGATAATTCAGGCTTAGATAAGTCAATTTCTGTGTATCCAAAAATTATGGCTAATTTTTGTACAATTATAACACAATTAACTAATTAAACAAGTAATTAGAGATGTTTGTTGTTGTTGCATGGAATACTAAAGTAACTTGAAGTGGATTTAAATATAGTATTTAAGTGATATCCCAGTGAAAAGGGAATTTGAAATTATTTGGAAAAACTATATTGTGTTGTAACATGTTTTCCTTCAGGAGACAGATGTTACATCGTAATAACTCATGTCCGTGTCTGTTAAAAAAATTTTAAAGACATTATCAGTTGCAATTTCAGTAATTTTTTATTTTTTCTATGACTGAGCAAAACTGCACACAATTAAAGCTTGTGGGTTTTAACAATATATGATTGGATTACCTAGGTTTTCTTGTGCGCTGACTCGGAAATGCACTCTCTTGCCTTACAAACAGCTCTTATTCGAGAACCTCTTAGTCACCTGAAGTCATGCATGCGCTTCTACAGTCTTCCTCGACTGTTAAACATTACGTCATCTGCAAATCCTGTCAAGACCTTCTTGGAAGATCCATGGAAATACAGAAACCTGTCTGAGGTGCTGTTTCCCTACTGTAATGTAACGTGGGACGGCACCAGGAACCACTTGGCCTTCGACTTAGGATACCCTACACAAGGAGCTGAGGATCTGGTAGCAAGTCATGATATACTTTTAATTAACCCTAGATTAAGGTAGGGGAGGGGAGGGGAAGGTACTCACGCCAAATGTGGTGTCCGTCACTTGGTCACATTTTCAAAAATTTACATGACAGCAAGTTTATGTAAATGAGCGAAGTTAACCCTATTCAGAACGAACTTTGATCTCAGATAAACCCAGCGCCAACTTTGACCTTAGATAACACTGGACGTCTTGCCCTAGAACCATCAGATTTGGTGACTTCTCCTAAGATATATCAATGATCAATTGCATATTAATTAGATACGTTAATGATTTTTCGTATTCTTCTTCTTCATCCTAGTGCCAAACCTCATTAAGTTGAGGGCTCAGGCACGGAGTCAGAGTATCATCCTGGAATAGGTCGTTGTGGCAGGCTGATGACTGGCTTTGGCTACTCAATGGGCAGGGGCGCTACTCCTGTAGCTTTGATTTGAGTTTATGAACGGTGGTAGTGTGGAGGGCAGCCTTGAATGCTTCAAGGTTTTTGGCCTGGACAGTGCATTCTGGGTGGGTGTTCCATTCACGTGCTGTTTTGATGCAAAATGAATTTAGGTGGTAATCAGTTCTTGAGGGGGGATTTGGAAGGCTTGACTGTTCTCTGTACGGGTTGATGTCTTGCGTCCCTTGGAGGTGAGGGGCATCTCGGAGGAGACGAGATTGTTCTGGCTTTTGTAGAACATATGCCGGCATGGCCCAATCAAGCGAAGTCAACATATGGGATACGCTTGATTGCCTCCGATAACGGCGAAGGGCAAAACGCGCAGCTCTTCTTTGTACGGCTTCAAGAGTTCTGATGTTGTTTTGGGTGTAGGGATCCCATACCGTTTGGCAATATTCCAGTATCGGACGTGCTAGGGTCTTATAAGCGCAGGCTTTGATATGAGG